GCTAGTAAGATTCATTGGTTATACAAAGTTATCAAGGGGACTTGGTTAAAAATGCAGTTTTCTCAGACCTCACCCTATTTCTACAGAAGCAGGTCTCTGAGGGGTGCCCACATTTACTAAGTCCCCACTTGATTCTCTGCCCAGCAAAGTTGAAAAGTACTGAGCTAAAGCATAGTGGACATACACAGAGAGAAAATTTTAGTTTTGTCAAATAAACTCAATTTAGTTAAAGGTGAAAACAAGGTTACAGAAAGACCCTGGGCACATTTACCATCTTGGTAACTAACTTGAGCCCTCAGGTACCTTATGGTGGTAGAATCTGCTTTTATCTTAAAGAGATGTTTACATTAGCAAACTATAGTGAGCTTAAAAGCTTATGGTCTAATCTTATTTTTTTAATAAATAAACTTAGACTATTCTTTATCAGCTCTTTATGCTTAACTTGTTTTTCAAAATGTAGATATGCTTGTCAAAAATTAACACATTATCTGTGAATTCTGAACCACAAAATTCCTTTTATAGATTAATATGTATATAAGAGTATAATCTATTTTCACTTATATGTGGCACATATACAGTGTATAGGAACAACAAACAGGGTGTGCCTATTTTTGAGCATTCAGAAGGCATTCAGCATGAGCAAAGACAATATCACAGGGTTGCATTTATTTAATTTATGGAGTAGATATGTTGAAATAATGTCCTTTATTAGAAAAGATACTCTCGATTTGACTACTCTTCTATGGTAAAATTATTTGGCAAATGGTAACTCCAAGGAATACGGATGAATTTTTGAGAAGACAACAAATACATCACTTTATTGTTTGTATAATAAAAAAGTAGAATAAGAAACCCATCTCCTTTCCAAGGTATAACAAATTTAGCCATTTAAATAGGAATAAAAGTACAGACGTCCATGAAAATAAGCATAATCAAATAAGAACTTTGAATGTTTGAAGAATATAAGTATAAATGCTACCCTGAACGGTAACCATGGAGCTGTGATATATATGCAGATTATTTCTGCAATGTACTCTTGTATAAAGTATATCCTGTCACCAGATCCCTCAATATAATGTATTTGCAACTCTACTATTCAGCAGCCTACTGAAGTGTGCCTGTGCTATTAAACTTCTCTATGCATTAGTCACACTCCTAGGTAAAACCTACGTAGGAGTTTCTAGACTCCACAGCCTGCTTTTCCTGATAAATGAAACCTACATTCCAGCCAACCTTTTTGCTCTTCTTTGCCACTGTGCAATATTTTAGCTGATAAGCTAAAAAGAATCAACATTTATTAATCGGGCTAACGCCTTCTCTGAACATATTCCTCATTTGGATTTTAGTGAACAATGATGTCAATGAAAACGAACATTTAAATCACGACCTAAATTTTCTTAATGAATACCAATATCTCTCAGGAGAAAAGCCAATTTCCTTTGTGTATTATACAGTACTGTTCATAACAGAGCCCAGCTCTTCTCTCTGGCCTTCTCCCTTGCCCACTTCCAAGGTACAGGTCACACACAACACAGACCACTTATCCACAGACCCTCCAGGGCTTTGGGTTGCTTCCAGCTCCTGTGTCCTTCGATGCTGCTGTTCTTCTGAAATGTCCTTTTCTACTTCCTTAAAGACTCTTTTTTGATGCCAATCAATACCTCCATTACCTATTTATTCCTGGTCTCTCTCAAAATCCAGTTGGAGGTCACTGCTCTACTCTGAAGTGTCAAAATTCGCTAATGCTCACGCATTCCCTTGTACTGTGATTTTTGGCTTCATTGTTTTTCTCTACCCCTTGACTAAGCTTCAAGAGGCCGGACATGGTCTTTCATCTGTCTTATATGGTTTGCCCTAGAGCCAAAATAGAACAAACAAAGGAGGAATTGCTTGTTGACAGTTTAGTTTTAGTGGACCTGCACCCCTAAATTCATCTCTTATAAAAGTGTCCTAATTCATGAGAAACATTAGAGGAAGGCAAGGCCAGCTTACTTAAAAACAAAGAATTAACGCTAGTCTATTAGAGAAAGTAAAAATTAGATTAAACTATTATTTTAATGTGGTATGTAATACTTTTTACTAAGGAGCCTTGAAATATTTTCTGAGACATAATTTGACTAGAGCTGCATAATAATCAGACAAAAATAACAAGAACTTCCTTTGTTTCTTTACCTCGTTTGGGAATTATAAACATTTAATTTCATATATTGTTTATTTCTTTTATTTCTCCCATTCATAGTTCTCTTTCTCATTTAATCACCCACTTGGAGTAAGAGAGAGACGCTAATAATCTGAGCCACCACTAACATCTGTATGTCTCTAATTAAAACTCATGCAATATTAAAGGAAAAATATATTACTATCTACTAAATGTGGATATGTATTCTATCATACTTCCTACTTCAATCTTTCAAAAAATCTGAACTAGTAAATATCACAAAACAAGAGATGAGTAATGTAAAATAAGAATATTAGGAAGGTGCTATAAAATGGAAATAATGAGTATATCTGGGTGTTGAGATCATTCGTGATTTTTTAAATTGCTCTTTTGCTTTGTATAATTTTATACAACGTCCATTAGGTACTTACATAATAAAATAATTATTTGTGTGTAAATATATGCACACATATATATTTAGTTTATGAAATATTGTAGCTGAGGGTCCACATATAAAGTACAGTTGCCTGATTAACAATCTTGTTAATAAATAATATTTTTGTCTGAATTATGAAGAAAAATGTTGACATTAATCAGAAATTCAACACATTGGATTCCAAAGTCTTAGAATGGTATACTTACACAAATAGTCTTTGAAAACATTACATGACACTTAATAAGGAAACCAGCCATCAAACTATTTCCAGCTTTGTTGCGGTCATTACGTATATTTTTGAAGAACTTAAAATTCACACGGGTAAAATTTAGTATGTACAGTACCTTATTATGCTGCCCATTGCGTTCTGAATCCTGCCCATTATGTTTTGCAGTTTCCCATTTTAAAAATATAATACCCACTTCTCCTGCACACCCCCCCCCCACACCCACAGCGCCTGTGAGAGGAAAAGGACACGGATGACCCGTCCCTTTGGTTTCTTAGGTATTTACTTAGAACGAAGGCACCTTACAAGGCCCAAGTGAATGTGCACCCGGGCGGGAATTAGTGTCATCGGAAAGCAGGGAAGGGAGGGCGACACAGCAAACCGCTGTCCTACGCAACCACCAGAGACCCCAGACAGCGCTGCGCTCCCGGCACGCGCACAGGCGGCGTCCGGCACCAGCGCAGCCTTCTGCTCCCGCGAGTCTGGTGGGGGTGGGGGTGGGGTGGGCAGGATCTTCAGATAAAAGGAGACTGATGGTTGCCCACCGCGTGGACCCGTACAAGCCGGAATCGAGGTGACCCGAGATTTTCCCAGTGTGTTGTCGCTTTCTCTTCTCGGAACTCAGAGCCAACGCTAAGGGGCACCAGAGACTCAGACTGCAGCGACTGACTCCCCGGCAGCCCGACTCGCCCGCCGCTGCGGAAGTCCTGGGCGACAGAAAAAGCCCACCTCGGTGGGGGCTGGGCGCAGCCGTCGCGGGGTGGGGGTCAGAGGAGCTTGAGATGCTCCAGGTCGGAGGAGGAATCCTCAGAGATTCAGAGGTTGAACGCGGAGGGAAGGTCTAGCAGTGACCCCAGGTAGCGCGGGTCTTCCGGATTTTTTCCTAAGACTCTGTTAGGCCACTTCTAATCGTTACTTTCCAACATGAAAACATGGACAAAAATGTAGCTGTAACATGTACGGCTACATAGATATAGATACGCACACAAGCCCCATCCCTTCCAGATAATAAAACCAGTTGACAGGACAACTTAACGCGCTGGTAGCTGTTGATCTGCAATTGTCTAGGGATCCCCGAGACACATTCGAAGAGACCGAATGTCACCTCGTCTCTCCTCTAGCCAATTCGTGTTTCCTCCCCTGACCTCCAACCTTCCAATTCAAGCGATCGTTCCTTGCTGAAGGTGACTAGACCCAAATCCTCGCCCCAACAGAGACCTCTGACCGAGCGCCCGCAACTCGGACTTTTTCCAGAGACAGAGAGCTTGGGAGATGCTCAAGAAATTAGCATCCTCAGCCATGCAGTCCGCATTCTGACTTTTCTCAGTGATAAATGAAAAAGAACAAAATAGTGGGGAGGGTGCACGGAAAGGAACGAGCAAACATACGCCGGGCTCCGCAGGCCGGGCGGGGGCCACCCGCACAGCCGGCCCGCCGCCTCCGGCCCCGCGCGTCCTCGCCCTCCTCCCGGCCGAGCCGGCGCCAATGCGCCAGGATGGAGAGATCTCGGCGCGGGAGGAGATGACGCAAAAGCCAGCGCTCCCCCCAAAAAAGTGTTTCTCCAGGACGAAGATGGCGGCAACTTAGCCCGGGGACTGAAGATGACTGTGGCTCTCGGGAGGCCCAGCCCAGGCGATTCGGCCCGCAGGTCCGGGGGAGGCGGCGTCAGCAGTCGGAGCCCCGGCGGCGGCGGCGCCCGCGGGCAGACCTGCGGCAGCGGCGGCGGCGGCCGCAGTTAGAGCGCGGGGTGGGGGGTGGGGGGGAGGGAGAGCCCTGCCGGCGGTGGCAGCCCAGGCTCCGGACTCGGGGACAGCGAGCGAGAAGTAGGAGCGGGAGGCGGAGGAGAAGAAAAAGGAGAAGGAAAGGAAGGAGGAGGAAGAGGAGGAGAAGAAGAGGAGGAGGAGGAGGAGAGGAGGAGGGGAGGCGCTCTGGTCGCCGTCAGTGGGCAGCGGAGACGCGGCATGCCCCTGGCAGGGGAGAGCGGGCTGTCCTCAGCAGGGCCATGGGGACCCGCGCTCTGACAATGCCCGGGTGAGAGGAGCAGCGCCAGCCACCCCGCCGCCTCCACCATCACCTCCTGCACTCAGCCTCGCCACCGGCCACCAGCACCAGCCTCAGCTCCTCCGCCTGCCTCCCTCTCTCCCTCTCTCTCTCTCCCTCTCTCTCTCTCTGCATTGTTGTTTCCCACTCTACAGAGGATGGGGTCGGCTGATGAATAGGTCGGGAGCAAGTCACATCTTCCTTCAAAGCCTGGTAATATTTATGTAGGCAAAAGAGAGAGAGAGAGATCGAAAAGAGAGGGAGAGAGAGAGGGAGAGAGAGAGAGGGAGAGGGGGAGAGAGAGAAAGAGAGAGAGAAGAAACGGGAGGAGGGGATAAGGAAATTAAACCTTTAAGTCAATGCATATTGTGGTGACACTGGCACAGGAGCCCTCACGGTGGAGTCGGCCAGGGCTGTGCGTTCCCAAAATATGACCAGGGGTGCTTGGATGTGTCGGCAGTATGACGACGGCTTAAAAATCTGGTTGGCAGCACCCCGGGAGAACGAGAAACCGTTCATCGATTCAGAGAGGGCTCAGAAATGGCGACTGTCTCTGGCATCTCTCTTGTTTTTCACAGTCCTGCTCTCTGATCACTTGTGGTTCTGCGCCGAGGCCAAACTGACCCGCACCCGGGACAAGGAGCAGCAGCGGCAGCAGCAGCAGCAGCAGCAGCGACAGCGGCAGCAGCATCAGCAGCAGCAGCGGCAGCGGCAGCAGGAGCCCTCCTGGCCCGCGCTCCTGGCGAGCATGGGGGAGTCCTCGCCCGCCGCCCAGGCACACAGACTCCTCTCCGCCTCCTCGTCCCCCACCCTGCCCCCCTCCCCGGCAGACGGCGGCGGCGGCGGCGGCGGCAAGGGCAACCGAGGCAAAAACAACCGGAGCAAGGCTCTTTTTCTAGGAAACTCTGCCAAACCTGTGTGGCGCCTGGAGACTTGTTACCCCCAGGGCGCCTCCTCGGGCCAGTGCTTCACCGTGGAGAATGCGGACGCCGTGTGCGCCAGGAACTGGAGTCGGGGGGTGGCCGCCGGGGGGGAGGAGCAGGAGGTGAGGAGCAAGCACCCCACTCCGCTCTGGAACTTGTCGGATTTTTACCTTTCGTTTTGTAATTCCTACACACTTTGGGAGTTGTTCTCGGGGTTGTCCAGTCCCAACACTTTGAACTGTAGTTTGGATGTGGTGCTCAAGGAAGGCGGTGAGATGACCACTTGCAGGCAGTGCGTCGAGGCTTACCAAGACTATGACCACCATGCTCAGGAGAAATACGAAGAGTTTGAAAGTGTGCTCCATAAATATTTACAATCGGAGGAGTACTCGGTGAAATCCTGTCCTGAAGACTGTAAGGTAGGAACAGTGGATTTTTCCCCTTCCTGTACTTTTCTGTCTCTGCTCAGTTGGGGTGTCTTCTCGAGTTTAATTTTTTTTTTTCGGCTCCGATTTTGTTACTTTAATCATTGGTTTTGTGGTTATAAGAGCTTGACTTGCTGTTTGAGTGGGGGATACCTGGTGGATTATTGGTGGCCTTCATCTGGGAATCCTCGGAAGATCAGGGAAGTCCTTGGTCTTCTGAGATAACAAAGCTGGTGCTTTCACTGCGTCTTACACCTATGCAATTAGCTCAAACTCTGTTACATCTTTTCAAAAATGGAATTTGATTCAGACTTGTCAGAAGGGCAGTGATGGGACTGCATAGCGATGCCCACAGGTAAAGTCAGAAGAGTCAGAGAGAGGTATGTATGGTTTGGCATATGGAGCCGCACATGTGAACTCCGTGATAGTGACATCATTGAGTTGGTTGACCAGGGGAACAAGAAAAAGTGTTTGCAGTTGTTTATGTAGGAAAAAAAAAAATGTTTGTTCAAGGGTAGTTCTGGTTGTTTGCAAAGTCTGGGGGCCTACCTGAGCATATGTATTCTCCTTAAGTTTCCTGTTTTGTTTTGGACATTTGTGTAATTTTGATCTGAGACTCATGGGGAATGGGAGGTTGTAATTAGGTATCTAGTGATTGGTTAGCAATGTTGGGTTATTTTTCAGACATGTTATGTAATTAGCTTGAATTTTTCCGTGTGATTTTCAGAAGTGTTAAATGGCAAGTGTTTGATGCTGTAAATTAAAATTTAGTGAAATATTTAATGATATGTATTATATTTAAGATATACCTGTTGTATGTAATAACAAGTATAACCCTTGCTGATTGGTAAAGAAGTCTATGCAAGTTTCTTAAGAATTAGTCAAGGCAACCATGTGCGCAGGTCCTCTACAGAAGTGCCACTGTCCATGGTGCTGAAATGAGGCTTGCCCAAGAGATCTACTGAAAATGAAGATACTGCAGTGACCTTTAGTAGGGAAGATGCAATGATAAAACCTCTCTAAGCCTTAATGTTTTGTTCCAAAGATAATCTCTTAAACAACACAATAAACTAGTATTGCTTTTCACAATAAATAATACACCACATTCTCTCTTTTCCTTTCTCTTTCCTACTACTTCAACCCTGCATGCAGACAATGCAACTGTTCCTCTTTGCTTCACTTGCTTTGTCTTGGGAAAGTGCAATCAAGGGTAGTAAAGATCAAAGGGTTTTTTGATACTTTGACAAGACAACTGGACTAAGGGGTACCTATTTTAAATGAACATAGTTCAAGGGCCATATTTTACTTTAGGTTGATTAGTTATATTTTTGACAATTAAACTAAACTCAAATTGACCTTGTTTTATCATCATTTTTTAGACCAGAAACATAGATCTTTGAAAATAGTAAATCTGAGTCTATAACATTAATTTAGAATGTTATTTGACTGACTAAGTGGATCTTAAACTTTTCTACCTTGTTTTCTTTTTTTTTTTTTTTAACTGTACCACTATAACTCATGCCTGGGAATTCAACTTAATCTTAATGGTGGAGATTAATAATAAATGACTAGTACATTTATTGCATAGTTATTCATTTTGACAAAATGTGTTGCACTGAAATTGTAAAGAAAAAGAAATTCCATGCCTGCTAATTCTACAACTAATGAAATGTTGTAGACATTTCTGTATACAGACGTTTCTGTATATTTATGTTTAAGAGTGGCACCTTATAATAATTGAATTTGCCTGCTTCTCCAAATGTGAGCCCTCATTTCTAGTAATTTTAATTTGTATAGTTCAGTATTTAAAAAATAGTCTGTGTTGTCAATAGAATGTAGCATATTTTCAAACAGCCATGCTAACTGTATCTTTTTCCAGATGTCCAAATAAATACATGAAAAAGTTTCTTTCCACTTAACCTGAATTAATTCTCAACTTCATGTTTATGTCATCATAGCTATAAGATGTAGTGTAAGTCAAACTCATTTATAATGTTATTGAGTGCTTCTGGATTAGATTTGTCTGTGAGGTAGGAGTTGTTAAATGTATACACAAAAGCATATTTAAAAAACCCTTAACTCTTTTAAAAAATCCTTCTTTACATTGAAAAGTAAACACAGACACTTAAGTTTTTCATCACCACAACAGAGAACTAATTACCTGTTATGTCTTGTAAATATTTCTTGTTTGTACAATTTTTTTATTGTTTGTCAATATGAAACATTTATTTCATAATAGCGATTTTCAAAAATTACAGTTTCAAATTTAAAGTGCTGGTGTTCTTAGTTTAAGACTCACAAATCAATTGATTTTATGTAGAAATGTAATAGAAGCAAAGTTTCTTCGTTTAATATGTATTTTTTCTATAATTCTGAAAAAGCCACAGACACACTCACATACAAACAATATTACATGGACTAAAAGTCATTTGTCTTTGAAGAATGTTTCTGAGTTTCTTTCTGAACACTTTTAC